ACACACACACACACACACACACACACACACACAACACCCCCTCCTAACGTCAGCCGCGCGTCGAGCTGGGATGTATTTTTATCCAGGGGGGGTGGAGGGGGGAGGGGCCGGTGACTCATTCCTCTCTGCTCCTTATTTTTACCCCACATGAAAAAAACATGGTTCCCCTGAAAACCTGCAGTTTTATTAGAACCTCAACAGAACCTTCAGCAGAACCTTCAGCAGAACCTCAACAGAACCTTCAGCAGAACCTCAACAGAACCTCACGTTGATCCTTTGACAGAACTCTTTCATCCATCAGAACCAGGAAGTTCTTCAGTTTCTGACCAAACCAATCCTCAACAAACCAACAGAACCTGGACCAGGACCCCCGACCCGGATCACAGACCCTCCRTCAGCCCACTCCACGTCTCAGCTCACCTGAGCAGGTGGACCTCAACGCTGCAGGAGGATCATCAGGAGCTGCTGGTGACAGGGTTTTAAAAAGTGAGATCTTCCTCCTCCTCTTCTTCGTCCCTTCAGGGTCTGCAGTGAGTCATCGTCATTCATGACCTCACAACAAATAAATAAATAAACAAACAGAAAATATCACAACAAAAGGGGAAAGCAGTGCATCTAAAGGAGTTTAAATTAGGATAAAGTTAAACAAACACTAAAAAATGTTAGATAAACAACAACAAATAAACAGACCAAAACAAAAACCCCAATAAAAACATTTAGTCACTCTGAAGGTAAAACTTTCAGAAACAGGAAGTGACCTGAAAGATCTAAAAATATCCTAAAACCCTAACATCTTCATCATCATCTTCATCATCATGTAGCAGCCCCCCCCCACACACACACACCTGTCCTTACCTACCTGTTCCTGAGGAACAAGCTCCTCCTCTCTGTGACTCCATTATTGATGAAGAGGAGGAATGTTAGGATGAAGAGGCGTCAGACAGGAACAGTTACATAATGAGGAAGAGGAGGGAATCCTTCATCCTGAGACGTTTCAAATTCAGTCACATTTCTGCAGATCTGAACGTTTCATACTGAAGCTGAGCTGAAAGCTAAATGCTAACTGCAGCTAAACAGACAGATGGCTCACCTGTCCAGGTGGGCTCCACCTGTCAGCTGTGAGCAGGCCGCAGCGCCTCCTGCGGGCTGAAMAGGTCAACCAGGTGGAGGAAGAAAGAAGAAATCCACTTCCTGTTCTCTTCCTGAGTCCAGACCTTCACCTGGGTTCACAGGTGAGTCCAGACCCTCACCTGGTCCACAGGTGAGTCCAGACCTTCACCTGGTCCACAGGTGAGTCCAGACCCTCACCTGGTCCTCAGGTGAGTCCAGACCCTCACCTGGTCCTCAGGTGAGTCCAGACCCTCACCTGGTCCACAGGTGAGTCCAGACCCTCACCTGGTCCACAGGTGAGTCCAGACCTTCACCTGGTCCACAGGTGAGTCCAGACCCTCACCTGGTCCACAGGTGAGTCCAGACCTTCACCTGGTCCACA